AGTTAATCCAAACAATTTAGGATTCTCTGATGACTGCGTTTCCTCAGCAAAATAAAAGTTCAATTAAAGTGCTTAAGACTCAGCAAAAGGAGGATGTAGGTACAGAATTCAAGATGATGGACTGTAATGCTCTCGAGCAGACTGACATAGGGAGTGAGGAGGTATTGGAGGTTTCATCAGTTTTAAAAGTGGACAAATCCCCAGATCCGGATGAGTGGTATCCCAGGCTGCTGTGGAAGACAAAGAAGAAGATCACAGGAACCTTGATGCAAATTTTTAATTCCTCTCTGACCACAGGGGAAGTGCCAGAGGGCTGGAGAGCAATTAATGTGGTTCCACTTTTTAAGAAGGGTGATAGAAATAGACCAGAGAATTACAGACCAGCGAGTCTAACCTCAGTGGTTGGCATAATCCACTTGGAGACGCAGTGTTTAATCGGCGGTAGTCAGCAAGACTGTGTCAGAGGGGAGGTCATGCCTAATTAATCTGGCTGAATTTTTCGAGCAGGTGACCAAGTGTGTATATGATGGTTGATGCCGTTAATACGGATTTCATGGGAAACTGCTCAAGAAGGTGAAGGTAATTGGGATCCGGAGCAACTTGGTAAGTTGGATCCACAATCAGCTTGATTACAGGATACAGAGGGTGGTGGTAGAAGGCTGTTGGTATGACTGAAGGCCATTGTCCAGTGGCATACCACAGGGATCAGTACTAGGTCCGTTATTGTTTGTGATATCTATATTAACAATCTAGATGAGAATACTGGGGGGAATGATAAGTAAGTTTTCAGATGACACAAAGATTGGCCGGGTGGTTGACAATGAGAAAAAATATCTTAGGTTACAGGAGGATATAGGCAGATTGGTCAGATGGTTAGATCAGTGGCAGATGAAATTTAACCTTGAGAGATGACGCATTTTGGAAGATGTAACAAGACAAGGGAGTACTCAATGAATGACATGATGCTAGGAAGTTCAGAGGAACAAAGGGATCTTGGGGTGCTTGTCCACAGATTCCTGAAGACAGCAGGGCTGATTAATAAGATAATTAATCTCACAGCCTTTTAAAATGGTACTTGGATGTGCACTTTAAGTGTCATAACATTCAAAGGTTTGGGCCAAGTGCTAGAAAGTGGGGCGAGTGTACTTATAGAGTATTTTTGGCAGGATAGACTTGATGGGCTAAAGATCTCTTTTGTACTGTAGGATTCCATAATTTTATAAGCTAAGACACCTTTAGCTAGCTAACAAGAAAAAGAGAATTATTGGTAGAGTCCATGTTGTTTTCGGCCTTGGCTCTGGATAGGGTTGAAATTCTGAATGTATTGTCCTATTGAATGTCAATTCAATTTCTAGAAACAATCTTGCTCAAATTACACTACACCCTCTGTGTACACTTTCCTGTTGAATCCCCACAGTCCTATCTACCCTCCCTGCCAATATTGAATAGTTGGATCTGCATGGATTTCCACCAGGTGCTCCAATCCAAAGATGGGCGCAGGTTAGGTGGATCAGCCATGCTAAATTGCCTCATTGTCTCCAGGGATGTGCATGCTGGGTGGGCTAGCCACAGTAAATGTAGGGTTACAGGGATAGGGTGGGGGTGCTGGGTCTGAGTGGGATGATCTTCAGAGGATTGGCGCAGACTCGATGGGCTGAATGGCTTTTCCACATTGTAGGGATTCGATGCTATGAATGGCCAAGACGTAGAATAACAGAGAGATTCAAGGGCCTGAATGCTACGTGTCTTCACAGTTTAGCAAACTATCTATATTCTGATTTCTGTCTCTATCTTGTCTGATTGTTTGCTACATTCCTGAGTTTGTGTCATTGACAAACTTTTGAAATTCTGCCCTGTAAAGCCAAGTCCAGATAATTAATAGTGATCAGAAAGCGCTGTTTAACCCTTTGTAATGCAGTGTTTCTATTACTTCCCATTGTTACCTTTCAGTCTTTGTTCATATCCCTCTAAACTTTTAAAATAGTATAATTAGAACAAGTCAACATGGTTTTACTAAAGGAAAGTTCTGTTTGACAGGTTTGTTAGGACACTTTAGGATGTAACTATAAGTGTAGATAAAGGGTAACCAATGGGTGTAGGATATATGGATTTCCACAAGACACTTGATAGGATGTCACATAAAAGATTAATAGGCAAGGTAGACGCTCATGGAGTTAGGGTAACATATTAGCACAGATAGGGAATTGGTCAACAGATAGTAAGCAGAAAGTGGAGCATTTTCAAGTTGACAGGTAGTAAATAGTGGAATGCCTCAAGGATCAGTACCGGAGCCTCAGTTATTTATAATCTTAATTAATGACTTAGATGAAGAGACAAAGAGTGATGTATCCATGTTTGTTGATGATACAAAGCCAGGTGGAAAGGTGAGCTGTGGGGAGGGCACACAGGGGCTGCAAAAAGAGATATAGATGGTGATATCCTGTGACCAAGTCACCCTTTATTTACACATGCATAGACACTGGTCCAGCATCCTCAGAGCCAGCTCTCAAGTGTGACCAGAACTCTGACATTCTGGTTTATATCTTTCACCTGGGGCTCACTGATTGGACCAGATTAACAGCTCCAATCAGGGAACTCATATTCTATTCTGCCCTCGATACAATCACTACAGAGGGGGCTTAAGTGAGTGGGCAACAAGATAGCAGATAGAGTATAATAGGGGGAACTGTGAAGTTATTTATTTTAGTAAGAACAGAAGGGCAGAATATTTTTAAAAGGTGCAAAATCCGTAAGTCTTGATGTTCAAAAAGATTTGAGTGTGCATGCACAAGGAATATAGAAAGAAACTAAAGGATACACTTGCACTGCAGGCATAACAACGTAGGTTCACTAAATTAGTTCCTGAGTGTTTGCGATGAGAGGCTGATTAAATTGGACCTACATTCACTGGTCTACAGAAGAATGAGAAGTGATTGCATAGACATATTGTGAAGCTGCTTCATAGAGCAGAAGCTGAGATATTTGTTCTTGCCAGTTGGGGAATCTAAAACACGGGGGCACAGTGTTCAGGATAACAGGCCAATTATTTAGGCCTAGATGAGGAAAAACTACTTCATTCAGAGAGTTGTGAAACTTTGGAATTTTCTAACCTCGAGGATGCTGCATCATTGAATACATTTAAGACTAGGATAGACAGATTTTTGGTTTCAGGGAATCAAAGGATATAGGAAACAGGCAGGAAGGTGGCATTTGTGTTCAAATTGATCGTAATGATACTGAGTGGTGGAATAAGCTTCATCCGCACTTGCTCCGACTTCCGGCATTCTTGTGAATTCTCCTACTTAGAACTCTTGAAAAGAACATGCCAAAATATTTTTGCAAGAAGAGAGTTGGATGTTCAGTGAGCCATAAAAGGAAGTTGGAGGGAATGGGAAAGACAGAAGAGATGGTCAGGAAAAGGTGGAACTACTGGAGTTTGAAAGCAGAGGTGTCAAAGTGAGATGGTTTTCAAAAGAATTGCAAGAGCTTAATAAGTGAAACATCAACCTCTGGTAATGGGACTGGATGAGGCAGGGAGCAAACTCTGGACTGAAGGAAGCTGCATGTAACAATACAGCTACTCCAAGCAGAAATGATTGGCTAATTTCTCCACGAATCATGCCTGGAGACTGCACTGTTGTAAGTCAATGGGATTGACTCTGCACATATCATTTATTTATGTTACTATGCTTTTTGCTGGAGTCTTTGCTGCAGATGGGTTTTGTTTTCTGTCGCTTATAGAGATTCTAAATAGACTATGTAGACCGATGTGAGCTATTTAGACAAGCAACAACCAAAAGAACTGCAGAAGCTGTAAATCAGGAACAAAAACAGAAGTTGCTCGAAAAGCTCAGCAGGTCTGGCAGCATTTGAGAAGAAAAAAAATCAGAGTTAATGTTTCAGGAAGGGTCACCAGACCTGAAACATTACCTCTGATTTTTTTCTTCACAGATACTGCCAGACCTGCTGAGCTTTTCCAGCAACTTCTGTTTTTGTTTAGACAAAAACTGTTTAGTGAATAGGATTTATTTGTTTAGTAAATAGATTTTATTTTCTGTAAAACAGCCCACCTGGGGGTATCCTAGTGCCTGCCACAAGCTGATTCAGTGGTGGCACAGGCAATCTGGGTTGATGCCATCTGTAATCAGATAGCTACAGGATAATTGAAAGGATTAAAAGAAGCGTTGTTAACGTTTACAGCATATCCACTATTTAAAATTACTATTTAAAAATCTAACTTCAGAAAGCAAAACGTTAAAGTTTAATTCTTAATGCTAAGTGTTCTTGTAAAGAGACTGCATTGGAATTTGCGGTTTAAGTTTATCATGGCACACCGAAAGGTTAAATCTAATGTAATCTGTGGACTATGGAATTAAGGGACTACTCAAAGTTGTAGTTTAGTGAGATGCGATAAGACACCCGCTCATTGTTACTCAGACCCATATCTAAACAGCTTGTAGATATATTTGTGACACACCAGATATCCAGGTAGTGAATGGTAGAACTGGAGCTGGTCATTACACATTTTAAAAGCTTACAGCTACAGAGATATGCATTACCAGCATGCACCTCCAAAACCAACCACTATAGTTTCAGTTTGATCCTACATGGGGGAGCATAAATGAATCCTCAGCTGAGGTCCACCACTGCATACAACTAAACATCCATCTAATTTATAATTAATAATGTTAGTGGTTTAAGAGGCAGGCTGGTGTGTTTTAATCTAAGGTCTACTAAATCAGCTATATTATTCAGAAATGTAACTGAAACTGAGTGATAATTGTACATTGCAAAACAAATGTAACATGTTGAAAAAGCAATGTGGTAGGGCACAAAAACAATAATACATTAAATTTGAAGTTCAATCAAGTAAAATCTTCCCGTATAACAAAAAAAAACAAAATATTGCAAAGATTAACAGATTGGCTCTGCATTGAATGCCCAGCAAGAACAATTATCTAAGACCAGAAACAAATGGAAACTATTGTAATGATGTTTACCTGATCTCCAGGAGCAACACCTATAGTGACAACTGATCCTGGCATTGGTGATCTCAAGATATTACTAGTGTCATCTGACACTTTTTCAAGCATGTACTTCTTCAGCTCTGCCGCTAACTTGGTCAATATTTGGGCTTTGTACTAAAAAGAGAGAGAAAAAGAAGTATTCAGTTATGCAATTAAGCTTCAATCACTTTCAGATCCATTGGTGTTTGCTTATTTCTAAAAACTAGTTTACTCTAAATGTGAGAAGGAAACACTATTAGCTACTGCCGAACAACAAACAAGTACCAGCCTTGGTCAGTGGATTCAAGTTCCATTGGCAGACTTGAGCACAAGCTTTAGGCTGATGCTCCAGCGTAGGACGGAGGGGTTGCTGCACTGGAGGCGCCACCTTTCAGATGAGATGTACAACTGAGGTCCCATCTGCCCATTTAGGTGGATGTAAATATTCCAACAAGACTTTTTCAAAGAAGAAACAAGAACAGAATTGCTGGAAAAGCTCAGCAGGTCTGGCAGCATCTGGGGAGAGAAAGCAAAGTTAACGTTTCGGGTCCAGTCAGCCTTCTTCAGAAGGATCTGAGCCAGGATCACCGGGCCCGAAACGTTAACTCTGATTCCTCTTCACAGATGCTGCCAGACCGGCTGTGCTTTTCCAGCAATTTCCGTTTTTGTTTCTGATTTACAGCATCTGCAGTTCTTTTGGTTTCTATTTCAAAGAAGAGCTGCTGCAATTTTTATGTTACAGTAGCAACCATATTGTAGAAATACTTCAATGGCTGGAATCACCGAGACATCCTGAGGTTTTGAAAGGCACAGTAGAAATGCAAATATTTATTGCTCAACATTTTTGGATCATTGTATACTGTTGCAAAAGTGGGTGCACATCAAGACAGAGAAAAGAAACCATGTTTCTAACTCCAAATTAATCAAACAACATCCTTAGATAGGCAGACTTTGAGGCTTACAGCAAAGTGTTCAATATTTGCTCATCCAACATATTAAATTTTAGAAAGAAAAGTAATTCCATCACCCTATTCATGACCGAGGAAAGCCACGAAGAGCTAAAGAACTTTTACTTTCGAGGCGCAGTCACTGTTGAAGTGCAACAGTCAATTTGTGCACAGCAAGATCCCACAAAAGGTAATTTTATAATGTCCACATCATCTGTCCTTTGAAAAGTAACAATTGTTCAATATTTTTTACAAAATTATTAATAAGAAGACTGGTTTAATGGTTACCAGCAATTCCTTCAGGTGGTGTAGGATTAGATTCTATGCCTACACATCCCATGCTGTATTTACTAATTTCAGAGGGCCTGTGAGAGAAATCAGCCACTCACTTCACTTTCATCCATTCTACATTATAACTCACTGCATAAGAAGAGCTTTCTTCAATACAATTAATTCTGAAATCATCAAAGAAAAAAGTGATGACTCCCCGGTTTCGAATTTTCTCAATTCAGCTCCTTAATAAAAGAGATGAATGACTTTTGCAAGAAGGTGGTATTAAAATATACACTTCTGGAGGATTTTTGCTTTGAGGCTGTCATTTGCATATCACACCTGTAGATGGCAGCAATCACTGCTTAAGTTTGTCCCAACTCCTGTTCGTGTAAAATGGGACTGAGTAGGAATCGAGAAATATTACCAAGGAAATGTTTTAAACACTATTATTTATTTCATATTTTTTGTCACTTCTCCCTTTGGTTTTGCCAAAGTATGCATATGTCTTCAGCATCTTCAGTTAGCACATCATTAAAAGGGTTAACAGAGATCCTGTCCAAGAATAGCAGTACAATTTCTTTGCTGATTCAACAAGAGGCAACCCAGTGTGATTAACAAAGGTTTTATTCCTTTTCTTCCGCCATCCCCTCCCCCCAAAGCCTGATCCCACAAGTTGACCCAGCAAGGCTGAAAAACATTCTCCTTTTTTCTCTGCCCTTCCTCTGTAAGACTGAGTCCTTACAAAGGCAGAAATTGCAGGCTTTTTTTTGAAATGCTATATTAATTTGATTTTATTTTACTCTTATCCATCTGTTGTTCATGATGATTCACATGGCCAGGACTGAGAAACCACATTGTAATATGAAAGGTCACATTCTGAGTCTCATGGAAGTTGTCACTTCTCACATGTGAGTCACAGAATTAAATCCGACAACACATAAGGAATCCATTCACCCTATTACACCTGAGCCACCTCTTTCAAAGAACTATCCAAGTATCGAAATAGATAGAAATCCTCATTCGTTTTCCTGATACCCTTATAATTTTTCCCTTTAAGCCCAGTTGCTGTTGCAATATTGTACTGGGAAATGCAGCCATTACATTGTGCAGGATAAATAACCAGACAATTTGTTTCTGATGGTATTAGCTAAAGGGATAAATGTTACCCATGACACCAGGGATACCCACCTGACCTTCTTCAAAACAGTGACATAAAATGAAAGACTTCCATTTTAGCATTTTTCACAACCACAGGATGTCTCAAAGGGTTTTACAACCAATGAAGCACTTTTGTTGCTAGTGGCTGTCCTTGTTATGTTGTACAGAGTGGCTGCATAGGCACAATTAATCTAACAGATTGCTATTGCACTGTTAATTCTATAATTCCAAATGTTCATTCCTGTACTTGAATTTCAAGCTATTCAACAGGACCCAAAAAACTAAACCCACACATCTTTGGTGTTACAGTTATGAAAGTTAAAAGACTGTTGGGTTTTGGAACTGTATCATTAGGTATTTGGTATATCAAGAGGTCATGCAATCTATTCTGCTGTCTGCTGACAGTAAGCATAGGTGATTTAATTGTCAGAGATTTCAGGAAGGCTTTACTGAGAAGAAGGTGAAAGGCATTTACACTTGAAAATAAAAGCAGTCATTTCCTGAATTTCCAATGCATTGGCTCTGAATCTTCCAAAGTCCCAGAAATGTGTTGTAGGTATTGGTTGTAAACAGATATGCTATATATCATTCATTTACTTCTGAGGTGAAAGACAGTTGAGACTAACAATAATTAATTAGCATTTATATGTGAATACAAGGTATGTGTTTCATGCTGCCAAGAG